GAAATGAATGATAATATTACTAATACTTTAGTCATCTTCTTACTTAGTAAAATTCCAAACTCTTTTGGGATACTTATTATTATTTTAAGGACATTTTGAATATTTTGAAAATTTGAAGATTTTCTTTCTATAAAAAATAAAATTTCAGTATTTCAGTATAAATATATTTATAAAATAGTGATAAAATAATAATAAATCATCTACCTAATCTAATCATTAATATATATGTATATATATATATATGTAACTATATATAACTATATACATATATACATATATATATATATGTATATACACATATATACATATATATACAAATATACATATATATATATATGTATATTCAAATAAATATACATATATATATATATGTATATTAACTTTATAAGATGTGTGAAATTATATTGATGTATGAATTTTAATGATGTAAAAGTAAAGTCAAGAAGGGCCTCAAAGAATTTCAAGGATTTTTTTTATTAAAATGCCATTCCTTTTCCTAAATAAACAGAGTTCAATTTTTACATAATCACTTTTTAGAAAAGTGCTCTTCACTTAATAGTCAAAAGTTAGGCCAAAAACATTCCATTTTATAATAAATTTGTTGGTAATATTAAACATAATCGTGTTGATACCTGAGATAATTAATGCATCATCTCACTTCACTGTGGGACTCTGAATCAATTCCAGGCAAACAATTCTCCAGGATTTTTTTCATGTGCACTATGTCCTAAATTTATCAGTTTCTTTTCCTTGAGCACCCAAATATGTTAATAATAACATGAAAAATAAAATAAAATATTTAATTAATTTATAAAATTTTTCTTTAATATGTGAACAGTGGAATGTAAAGTTGGGTTTATATCAAGAACATTTTCAGCAGATGAAAGAATTACTGTCAAAGTTTATTTAAGGTAAGCTAAAATTTGTCATAACTTTTTTCAAATTGTAATTATATTCAGTTTATAAAACTAAATACTTGGTGTATTTATTAAGTTATTATTTCTACGTTTTAAAAAATTAAATACAATATGAATTTTATATGAAATTTGCATATATTTGAAAATTAAGAGTAAATGGCAAATTAAATTAATATTTTATTTACTTCNTAAAAATATGGTAATTATATATAAAAAAATTTCAATACAACTAAAGATTGGCCAGTAGCATTCATATAAAAACACTTTTGTTTTATCTTATGAGATTTTTGCATATATTAAATATTAAAGCTGTTATAAATTAGCTTTTAAAATGTCCTTTTGTCCTTATTTCACACAGACAAAATGGGAAAAGACGTTTTAAAAGTTCTCTCTCATTGCATTTAATTGATTTCATTATATAATGACCTTTCAAAATCAAGCTTCTGATAACATCGATATTAATGATGATGTACACTTAGAAGAAATTTACATTATCTTCAAGAAATTATTTAAATAAGAATAGAAAGAAATTTCCTAAATTATTGTTATTTTTAATTTTATTATTTGAATATTCAAAGTTTTAGTTTTGAAAACGTTTTTACTAAAAGCAATTGAGAGATATTAAACATTTTTATTTTTAAGAAATAAATATGATTATTTTTTGAATTAATTTAACAGCCATAAAGTTTAAGATTTGAATCATTCAAAGTATGAGTTAGATTTGAAACATTTTCAGTAATTAATAATTTAAATTTTTATTAGATATCATCAGTTGCATTACAGTTGGGTTCTGAAAGCAGCATCTGTGCTATTCTCCAGTGGACTATAGGAAATGCAGATAATCCAAGTTCATTTCTACCTTGGAGTGAGGAGTTATTCAAAGAGGATATTAATTTACAACATTTGGTTATATATAGCAGTACCAGGTCTTTAATTATTTTATACATAAATTATTGATAAATGATTCTGTTCTATTTTTCTACAAACAGTACTCTTAATTTAATTTATTCTTAAAAGATTTTAACTCTTCACAAATGTNTCAAAACGCAGTTTTCCTAAAAATTCTATGGCGATTAATCTGTGTCATCTTCATCTGGATTAAGCCTGAAGTTGTGCCCGCTAAAATTTGTGTTGTGTGCTCCAGTCATTGCAGTTCTGTCAACTACCATCGCTTCTGTGACCAAGCGAACCCATCTCGTCTGCTCTGGGGCAACGACTGATCAGCTTGCACTATCATAGGACCAGCGATACGCCACTCCTCAGTGTCGAGAGAAAATACTGTAGATATGCCATTTCTAACTACCTCAAATATGTAAGCATCTTCCCCTTCTAATAAACGATTTTCACTGTAAAATACTTGTCATCTTTGTTTCCTCTGCCACCACCAACGTACGAATGGACCCTAGACCATCACCGACACACAATTAACTGATTTTCCCTAAAAGTCAGCAAGCTTACAAATTTGACACAAAAAGCCGTTAAGTTCGTTATCCGAGACAAAATTTTTGCAAAATAAAAGTTCGTTAACTGATTTGGTCATTAACCAGGACGTTTGTTAACCGGGGTTCCACTGTATTTACAGATACAGATAAAATTTATCACATCTAAATAAATTAAGTTGTAGAGAGAAAATAGATTATATAAAACATATTTCTAAAAATAGTTTGTATTAATTTCAAATAAAAGAATACTTAAATAAATAATAATGTCACAGTGCAAACAATAGCAAAAATTTTGACAAAAATAATAAAGTTTATTAAATAAATTAATCAAATAGTCAACTTAAAAATGTTTAAATCTTTTTAATCATTTTTAAATTGACTATTTGATTAATTTATTTAATAAACTTTATTAATTTTGTCTAAATATTTGCTATTGTTTGTACTGTGACGTTATTATTCATTTAGGAATTACAGACAAAAATGAATACAGAATCCATCTGTGATCATTTGATAAAAAGTTACATTAACAAAAATATAAAGCTAGCATGATTTAGCTTGCTGTATAATATATTTACCTAGTGGCATTACATCAAATGACCCATAATTACAGCATATAATAGAATTTTAAAAATATGGTAATTATATATAAAAAAATTTCAATACAACTAAAGATTGGCCAGTAGCATTCATATAAAAACACTTTTGTTTTATCTTATGAGATTTTTGCATATATTAAATATTAAAGCTGTTATAAATTAGCTTTTAAAATGTCCTTTTGTCCTTATTTCACACAGACAAAATGGGAAAAGACGTTTTAAAAGTTCTCTCTCATTGCATTTAATTGATTTCATTATATAATGACCTTTCAAAATCAAGCTTCTGATAACATCGATATTAATGATGATGTACACTTAGAAGAAATTTACATTATCTTCAAGAAATTATTTAAATAAGAATAGAAAGAAATTTCCTAAATTATTGTTATTTTTAATTTTATTATTTGAATATTCAAAGTTTTAGTTTTGAAAACGTTTTTACTAAAAGCAATTGAGAGATATTAAACATTTTTATTTTTAAGAAATAAATATGATTATTTTTTGAATTAATTTAACAGCCATAAAGTTTAAGATTTGAATCATTCAAAGTATGAGTTAGATTTGAAACATTTTCAGTAATTAATAATTTAAATTTTTATTAGATATCATCAGTTGCATTACAGTTGGGTTCTGAAAGCAGCATCTGTGCTATTCTCCAGTGGACTATAGGAAATGCAGATAATCCAAGTTCATTTCTACCTTGGAGTGAGGAGTTATTCAAAGAGGATATTAATTTACAACATTTGGTTATATATAGCAGTACCAGGTCTTTAATTATTTTATACATAAATTATTGATAAATGATTCTGTTCTATTTTTCTACAAACAGTACTCTTAATTTAATTTATTCTTAAAAGATTTTAACTCTTCACAAATGTAAATTGTTTTAAAATANAATCTTTATCTCCTCGAATATCATCGATTCCGACTGATTTTGTCGCAAGTAACTTTCCAACGCTATAATATTAAAAAACAGATTTAATTAATTTATTTATAATTATTAATGTTAATAAGAGATGGCGCCTAATGCTTACCTCTAGAACCAAATTGGTTACGTAATTCATTTATTAATTAGCCTTAAAATAGTTCGATGGATTTTCGGCATACGGTTGGTGTTTAGCTATACTTCGAGATGTGTGAATGACGAAGGAATACTAAATAAAGCTGAAGTTGTGACTCAAAGAATTATAGACCCAAATTTGAGAAAAGGAGAGAGAGGCCAAAAGATAAAAAGCAGTGAGAAAGGTTTAATAGACCTTCTGTTATGCAAGTATTGACCCTTAATTTTCCAACCTTCCTCACTACTTTTTATCTTTTGGCCTTTCTCTCCTTTTCTCAACTTTGGGTCTATAATCCTTTGAGTTCCAACTCCAGCATTATTTAGTACTCTTTCCAGCATTGCAAGATTTGGCTACCCTTTTTTTAGTTTGGCGTAAAAATTATCATTTTGCACGTTGGCTACTTTTTGGGCTACATATTGTTTATAAATATATTAGTTGAATAAAAATGCAGTTTAAAATGGTGTTTCGTCAGTTTTTATTAATTAGAGACCCAAATAAAACAAATATTTGTGTTTTTCAAATAAATTTTTGTCTGTCTCCTTTATAATAAATGAATTTATTTATTGCTAAGTAAAAATTGAAAGGGTCTGTAGAAGTAATTTTTTAAAATATCCTTTTTCATGATAAAGTTTTAATACTTATTACTATAATCTAGACATGTTAATCCTTAAATATACTTGTATATTTAAGGATTGGGTTACAAATATATACTTGTGGCCCAAAACTCCATGACTTCTCCCAATGTGGCCCAGAGGAACAAAAGGGTTGGACACCCCTGCCCCAGAGTATACTTATACAAATCTTATATGGTATAGCTTACTAATATAGGCTATATCTAATACAATTGCAATACAATGAAGTGTTTGTGTATCTAAAGATGTCTAAACATAGAAAAGGTATGGGCAGCTACAAATTTTCAGCTCCATTATAATGTTATGGAACATTTGTTGTATGTGTGTTATTGTTACATGTAATTTAAAATTAATTTATTTTTCTTGTGTAATAATAATAATAATAATAATTTATTTTTAATTAGCTTTCTTTTATCAAGAAAGTCAAAATAAGTCAAATAAAGAACCTGTTCAATTTGTAAACAATATTCAACTAGGAGAAATAACACCTTCCCAAAAAGTAAGGATTGATTTGCATAGGATCATATAAAATTGAGTAATTTGAAATTATTTTAGATAATTTAAAATTATCAATTATATCCAACAAAAAAAATATTAAATGGCAATATTATTATAAAGTAACTATAAATTCAGTCAATTTAATTAATAAAATATCTCTGTAACTTTACAAGTGCAGAGCTTATCTAAAAAAGTTAAAAAAAACATTTAAATTTTTTAATAGCAGGTGCATAAATTAATTAACATTTTCCTCATTCACCTTACAAAAAATTTGTAAAATAAAATAATCTAAATATTAATTTAAATGTATTTTTAAATAAAAACTTAAAACATCTTGTTTTATTTTTTATTTCTGAATAATGAATTTATAAATTATGCTATGCTAATGATAAGATTACAAATGAAAATAAATTTAGTTATTTGGTATGGTTGTGAAATTTTGTTTTAGTTAATAAATTTTTTTATATAAATATATAAAATTAAAATATTTATTTTATAGATAAAAACTTGTATATTTATGAAAACAAGTGAAGTGGGCATAAGAAATGTTATGTTTAAGGTAATTTTATTTTTATATTTATACATAATTAAAATATATGTATATATATTTTAATCATCTAAATTATTTAGGTGAATAAAAATTCAATTATCATCATCATAGTTTCTTCTCTAGATAACATATGATATTGAAGTTGAGATTGATGACCATACAAATTTACTTTCTTTAATAAGAAAGTCCAATCTTTCATATAATTGTTCATATATGTCCATTTCTCCACTTAAAACCATTTTAGTCGAAAGACTTGAAAGTTTCAAAAGTTTTTCTTTGTTTTGGCTTTCTTTATCATCTGATTTGTCTTCTCCATTTTTTCTTCTCCATTTATTCGATGCCGTCGTATATGACGATTTACCACCCCCCAATCTGCAAATGGCTTTCCTTACTGTTTCTCCCGGTTTCATCAATTTTAACATTTCTGAATATATTTCTATTTTATCGAGTGGCTCCTCTTCTTGATCTGATGTTTCTTCTTCTTCAATATTTTTTACTTTAATCTAGAATTTTAAAAAATTATCAAAAATTAAAAATTATTATATGAACATAAATTATAGATTAAATATAAAATCATATTAATTTAATTAAATGTGCTAACATTTTTAAAAGAAAAATAATTGAATGAATAATAATAAATATAATTACACTTCAGTTTATATATATATAAAACAAAAAGAAATAATTTTTTTTTGACTTTATATGAAGTCCAAGTGTGGCACTGCCTATTTCTGGCTACACAAAAATAAATTGTGTAACTTATTTTCTCTACACTAAACAATTGTCTCCTACAGAAATTCATAATTGCTGAAATTTATGGTGAAAATGCATTATTGCAAAACAGATCACAGTATGGTGTTCTCAATATAAAGATGGACACATGTTTGCAAGATCAAGAAAGAAGTGGGAAGCCAAAAACGTCACAGAACAGTGAATGTGTGGAAGAAATGTTACAGAATGATTGAAGGTTAAAATATGGAAGTTGTCAAAGATCCATAGAATTGGTCATAAAGTTCTTAGATACCAAAAACAATGTGCACATTGGGTTCCAAATCAGCACAATGAAAACCATAAGCACATTGAATAGTACTGATTTTGCAAACTTTGCTGTGATCTGTGATAATGAAAATTTTTTAGAGGACTGGGGACAAAATTTGGATACATTATATTACATTTGACTATGCAAGATTCCAACTCTTGTTCCCATCTGCCAAAAAATTCAAACAGATTTCGTCTGTTAAAAAAATCATGGCAAGCAAGTTATTTTTTGACCAAATATTCATTTTTTATTGTTAAACAATCAAAGCTAACTGATAACATATCTAGATTTACAAAACCAACAGATTTTTAAAATGAAATATCAATATGAATCAATATCAATTAAGAATTTCTATATTGATTACAACAATTTTAATGCACTTATTACGCATAACTTATTGTAATAAAGAATGAATTGCAATTGTAAATTAGCAAGTCATCTCTTATATTTTACAATGATTATTTAAAATAAAAATTATAAAAATATTTTAAAGCTATGAATTTTCTGAACAAAACATTTCTAAACATATATAAAAAAACAACTGGATTATTTAATTTAAAAATGTTTAAAAAATGCATTTTAACACAACTCTCTTCATTTTAA